TGCCATGGCGACTGTATCGATTATAGCTTTTACGACTTCTTGCGTGGCTAAGGATGAACCCTTTCATTCCAAATCTGTTAAGTAATTCTCCTTACTCTCTGCCCTACAGCTCCCGTGATGTTAATTTGGAGAATTTGGTATTGGATCAACTAGCAATTGCCCAACTGATATTTCTCTTTATTCTTATCACTTGCCTTCTTGACATTGTATTGATATTGTAAGGAGAAATTCTGTCTTGGTAACTCCTGGGAGTTAAAGGGTTAAGGATTAAAAGATGGTGTGCAGATTAAATTTCTGCACAAACCAAAACCCCTCCCTTCTCCCTCTTTTTAGAAGTAACGTCTACTCTAAAATGAAAAAATAAACAATCATTTATTTACAATGCCATTTGAAACCGGTTTCAGCCGTCCTTCATGGCCAGCCAAGCTCCTCCGCAATTGTGTTTCACGAAGGAAAACCTTTGCTTTTGGCAGATGTTGGAGCTGGTGTTCTCAAGGCTTGCAGGGAGAGACTCGGTTAGTGAAATTCCTACCACTCCTTCCTCGATTTGCGGTGATCGTTCAGTTTTGTCCTTGTGTTTTAAACCCATCTGTGTGAAATCCTCAGTCATAGTCTATCTTTATCAGTTGAATGTTGCCCCACAGATATTTATTCTCTAGACAACCTTACTTTGCATTTCCAGCTCACAACGAGTTCCCAAGGAATGTTTTCATCACAAACAACCACTTGGATCATGCTGGTGAGCTCCCTTTGCTATTTTTGTTCGAGAGCGAGAGGAGACATTTGGCTGGTGAACCTCGCCTAAGAGTGTTGTCTGGCCCTGAGGTGCAACATAAATTAAAGACATGCAGACTGGACGAAATGCTCCACCTGTATACACTGGTAAGTCATGAATCACCTGTTATATGCGCTAAGATGCAGTGTTTTTCCATTTAAGTATTTTTTTCGTTCTTCCTTGAAGGAACAAATAGCAGATTGGGTAGTATGTCAGCAAGAAGGAGACCCAACCTACCTGGATGACGAAAAACAGTTCTCCATGAAAATCCACAAAACTCTTCATAGCGGAATATGTTATGGTAGGTTACAAACAGTTTTGAACGATGACCTGGGTAACTGTTTATGTCGCGAAGATCGTAAGTCAATGCGTAGCTGGCCGGGGACGTGATTGTCAGCCTCGGGCTTTCAATCGAACAATTACGCTTCGAACATAAAACAAAGCTTTGCTAAGCCAGTTTAAACCGGCCCAGAAGAAGACCAAATCTCAAACAGTAAGTTCTAAGCTGAACAAGTAAATTTCAGATGATGATCACGCCTAATTCCAATAGAGCTTTTAAATTTGAAGCATGAAAAGAATCGTTAACATTTAATTTTTATTCATAGGATTTGTGCTATTCTTCAAGGAGAAACCAGTTCTTGGTTATTGCGTAGACTCTGGCTTCAAGGAGGACGTGTTCGATTTTTTCTTCCAAGCCACCACTGTGATAGTTGGTGCGAGGTCTAATGCACCTAAAGAACATGCATCGGTAGGTATTGTAATCAGAGGGTTTTTAGCTGACTACATATTACATTAGCATTGGAGAGTAAGAAATGGCACATAATTAGTAATGAATGCACAGTGCGTGAGATTATATGCCGAAACAGCTTAGTTCTGAGGTGGGAGTCC